ATATATATTTATTTAAATATATACATGCATGTATAAATATACACAGTTCACACATATATTATGTAAACAAAAACTTTTATTTTGGATGCGATTAATCGTGATTAATCGTTGCCCAGCACTAATATATATAAAGTATCTATCTATCTATCTATATATATACAATATTAAAAAAATCTTATTTAATTTCACTAAATTGCCAAGGCAACTTGAAGTTACTAAAATAACTAAAAACAGTAGAAAAATGTTTATTACTTGAAATAAATAAAAAATTACATTAAATATAAAAAGTAAACTTATTTTATTTCAGATAGTTGCCAAGACAACATTTCTCATGTTTGTTTAGTTTATCTTGAAGTACTAAAAGAACTAAAACTAAAACCGTAGAAAATATTTTCATTACTTGAAATAAAATAAACATTAACTGAGATAAACCATTTATTTTTATTTCAGATAGTTACCAAGGTAACATTTCTAATAAAATACTAAAATAACTAAAACTAAATACACTAGAAACGAACGAAAACTTAAAAACGTATGAAAAAACTAATAAAAATTACAAAAACACACAATAAATTTACGAAAAACATACAAATAAAAACCAATTCAAAATATCAGTAAAAACGATTACAACTATATTATCAATAACAATAATAAATAAAATAAACATTAACTAAAATAAAATAAAATATAAAAAGTTTAAACTTATTTTATTTCAGCTAGCTGCCAAAGCAACATTTCTCATTTCATTTAAGTTAAAGTACTAAAACAACTAAAAAATAATGCAACTAAAACTATAAAAACTATATAGACATAATAAAAAAAATAGAAAACACACAACAAAATTACTAAATCTTTAAAATTAAAATAAAAACAGGAACTTTAAAAAATAAATATAATTCTAAATATTAACAAAAACTACAATAGTATATCAATGATATTAAAACAACAGGTGAAAGGAAGGAGCTTGTGGTGTTTGGGTCCAAGACATTTTTTTTAGGCTGACTGGGAACAACACAAGCGTAACAAGTGGGGGAGAAAATCCCAAAAAAGTACAAAAATGATCAGTCAAATTCTTTGGGAAGTCGTTATACCTTGTGTGAGTGAAGTTAGTAGTTTTAGTCAAATGTGATTACATTAACTAGCATTAATGACAGGAACACAACATGAGGGTTAATGTAACAGTTTACATAGAAATGTAATGGCTATGCAAATATTCACATAGTTGCAATTTAATGTAAAATGGTTATGTAAATACTAGGGATGTAACGATTCACTCAACTCATGATTCGATTCGATTGCAAAAACAAAGCAGCGCTGCACTTACTTTAATATGCATTATACAGAGGCAAGATGAAAAGAAAAAATACCATCTAAACTTTTCTAAAGACAGTAAGTTCCCCTCAGACATACATTCATACAAACTCCTGCCCCTAATTGAATCACGATTTGTTTAGCATCTCAACCGATTTGAATCGTCACATATTTGAATCGATTTTCAACCGGCTCGTGGTTAATCGTTACATCCCTATTAAATACTGTCCAACAGTTTAACTTAAAAAATGTACAATTACTGTAAAAATAATTTTATGCTCAAATTACACAAACTCGCTCTGCTCATGTTTAAATGAGATCCACTGCGTGCAAAAAAAGGTTGTAATTAAATCGTACAATAAAATAGCACAATCTCAACTTATTAATGACATCTGTTGTCAAATATTTGAATATAGAGATTTTTATCTATTTTTTTTACTGCATATTTAATATAAATACACTGATGTAGGGGAAAAAAATACTTATATAATTGTTAGTAAATTTGACAAATAATTACAAAGAAATGGCAAGTAATGCATTCAATTATATATCCTAAAATAATATTTTCTTGTAAAACATACTCCAGTAATCTTTACTTTAAAAACCCATTTTTCACAGTGCAATAATAAACTTCTGTTATGGTCAGTTTTTGTGTGGAGTCGATCGTCTGAGATCAAAGGATCCTTAATTAAAACAACAGCTGTACAGCAGCTCTAATGATGTGTGCGGGGTCAGAGGTCATCGCTAATTGATTCTCCTGCGAACGAGTCGTTTCCCCACAGACTCTTGACCCAGTGACGACTGCGAACAATTTCTGAATCACACTTCATCTGCTCATATTTCAGCTATAATTACACACGTGTGTGAATAAAACTGTAACACTAGTGAAACTGGGAATAACTACAATCAGAACTTCCTTAAAATTCATAAAAGAATCATTCGGTTCATTCACCAAAATTATAAACTAAATATGCATGAATCTCATTAAATGCAATTTTCACCTCAAATTCAAAAGAAAAAAATTTAAATTATTTGTATTTTACAGATATAAGTAAACATCATGGTAGTACTTGTTGTACTAAATTTATGTTGCATTGAAGCATTTTTACATATGCTTAACTTGTGAAAATACAATGCAAAAAATCCTAATAGTCCTTAAAACAGGCTTCATTTATCATGTTTTCCCCCCTTTTGATTAAGAGTGATTCTTAGCTTTAAGACATTTGATAACTTGCTTTTATACTTAAGCTTGAAAGAATCTGTACGCAGCGCTAAAAAAACACATTATTCAATGCAAATCATTAGGCAAATGACTCAAATATTCCACACAACACACACACACACACACACACACACACACACACTCTCACACACTCACACACACACACACACATACTCACA